CAGACATTTCCTGACTCCTTACAACATGTACACACTGTGCATTGTTACATTAGAGTCAGCTGACATTGGGACCCATTAGACCATTAGCCTATAAGATGTAGGAGCAGAAGTAGGCCACTCAGCCCATCAAGTCTGCTTGGCCATTCAACATTGGGAAGAAGAATAAAAGCATGGACTATTTTCTAAATGGGGAGAAAATTCAGAAGTCTGAAGTGCAAAGAGACTTGGAGTTCTAGTCCAGGATTCTCTCAAGGTAAATGTGCAGGTTGAGTCAGTAGTCAGGAAGGCAAATGCAATGTTGGCATTTATTTTGAGAGGACTTGAATATAAAAGCAGGGATGTACTACTGAGGCTTTATAAAGCTCTGGTCAGGCCACATTTGGAGTATTGCGCGCGGTTTTGAGCCCCATATCTCAGGAAGGATGTACTGGCCCTGGAGCGGGTTCAGAGGAGGTTCACGAGAATGGTCCCAGGAATGGAAAGCTTAACATATGAGGAGTGTTTGAGAACTCTGGGACTATACTCATTGGAGTTTAGACGGATGAGGGGGGGGATCTAAATGAAACTTACAGAATACGGAATGGCCTGGACAGAGTGGATGTTGTGAAGATGCTTCCATTGGTAGGAGAGACTAGGATGCAAGGGCACAGCCTTAGAATAAAGGGAAGATCCTTTAGAACGGAGTTCAGGAGAAACTTCTTCAGCTCGAGTGGTGAACCTATGGAATTCACTGCCACAGAAGGCTGTGGAGGCCAGGTCATTGAGTATATTTCAGACAGAGATAGATAGGTTCTTGATAATCAAGGGGATCGAGGGTTATGGGGAGAAAGCGGGAGAATGAGGTTGAGGAACTTATCAGCCATGATTTAATGGCAGAGCAGACTCGATGGGCCGAATGGCGTAATTTCTGCTCCTATGTCTTATGGTCTTATGTCTCAACATGGCAGATCTGATCATCCTCAATTACACTTTTCCTGTCTTTTTTCAGTAAACCCCAATTGATCAGTGCCATGAGAATAGAGTTTTTGATACTTTTCTCACCAGCCCCGAGATAAGTGATTCTTTTCTTCCACTACAGAAAAGCACAATGCTCTTGTCCCTTCAACAGGAGTCACGCCTCCAGCCTTTGATATCAATTGGGTCAGTGGGCTGAGAATTGCAGATGAAATTCAATTTAGATAAATGGAAGGTTATTGCATTTTGGGAAAATAAGGGCAGGACTTATACAATTAATGCTAGGGCCCTGGGTAGCGTTGTAGAACAGAGAGACCTAGAGGTACATAATTCCTTGAAAATTGTGTCACAAGTAGACTGGGTGGTGAAGATGACATTTAGCATGCCTTGCCTTCATCGTTCAGACCGTTGAGTACAGGAGTTAGGATATCACATTGAGGTTGTACAGGATGTTGGTGAGATCTCTTTTGAAGTACTGTATACATTTTTAGAAGTAGGATTTGCTTTATTGTCACTGTGCATTTCTGGTCAACCTGCTACAGAAAGAATATCATTAAACTGGAGACAGTTCAGAAAAGATTTAGAGTTGTAAGAGGCTGAGACTTTTTTCACTGGAGCAGAGGTGGTTAAGGGGTGACCTTAGAGGTTTAAAAGGTCATTAGGGGCATAGATAGGGTGAATAGCAAGGGTCTTTTCCCTTGGGAGGGTGAGTTAAAAAAACTAAGGGGCATATTTTTAAGGTGAGAGGAGAACGATTTAAAAAGGGAACTGAGGGGCAACCTTTTCACACAGAGGGTGCTTTGTGTGTGGAATGAACTGCCAGAGGAAGTGGTAGATGCAGGTACAGTTACAATATTTAAAAGACATTTGGATATGGACATGAATAGGAAAAGTTTAGAGGGATATGGGCCAAATGTAGGCAAGTGGGTCTAGTTTAGTTTAGAAAACTTGGTCGGCATGGACGAATTGGACCGAAGGGTCTGTTTCCGTGCTGTATGACTATGACACCGATACTCAGTAGCAGCAGTTTGTACCATCTATAAGAAGCACTGCAGAAATTCACCGAAGATCCTTAGGGAGCACCTTCCACCCTATGGCCACTTCCATCTAGCAGAAGGGCAGCAGATACACGGGAACGCCACCCCCTGCGAGTTCTCCTCCAAGCCACTCACTATTCGGACTTGGAAACATATCATTGCTCCTTCACTATTGCAGAGTCAAAATCCTGGAACTCCCCCTAGGGGATTGAGAGAAAAGCATCAAACTTGATTCCCACAGCACTGATCGGTTGCGAATCAGGGTTTATGGAGAAAAGACAAGAAAATACAGTTGAAGGTTATCAGATCAACCATGGTGTAACTGAATGGCAGAGCATTGTGGGTCTGCCTATAACACATGGACTGCAGTGGTTCAAGAAGGCAGCTCACCACTTTAAGGGGCAGTGAATTGAAAAATACAAATGCAGTACTTTCTTCCCAGCATCAGGGGGCAGCCTCAAGCACTTCAATCAGTTCCCACAGTATCTTTTTTGTATTTGCCTTCTCCTTTCTCCTTCAATTTCTCCCACTTCCTACAGACAAAGGGAGTGGCCATGGGTACCTGCATGGGCCCAAGCTATGCCTGCCTCTTTGTAGGTTACGTGGAACAATCCCTGTTCCATAGCTACACTGGCCCGATCCCCCATCACATCTGTTTCGACGCTGCCTCATGCTCCCATGAGGAGCTTGAATAGTTCATCCACTTCACTAATACCTTCCACCCCAACCTTAAGTTCACCTGGACCATCTCCGATACACCTCTCTCCTTCCTGGACCTCCCGGTTTCCATCTCTCGCAACCACCTGGAAACCGATATCCATTTCAAGCCCACCAACTCCCACAGCCACCTAGAATACATCTCCTCCCACCCACCCACCTTCCTGCAAAAATGCCATCCCCTATTTCCAATTCCTTCGCCTCCACCACATCTGCTCCCGAGAGGAGGCATTCCACTCCCGGATATCCCAGATGTCCTTGTTTTTCAAGGACCGCAACTTCCCCTCCACAGTAGTCGAAAACGCCCTCGACCGCATCTCTCATTTCCCGCAACTCATCCCTCACGTGCCCTCCCCGCAATAAGAACCAAAACAGAAACCCCCTCGTCCTCACGTACCACCCCACCAACTTCCGG